AGATCTTCGTGGTAGGATGGGGCCATTCATGTTGTACACTGAGGGCTAATAGTAAAGACTTTGGTTTTTACTCTGAAATAAGAAGCCAATAGAAAGTCTGGAGTTAGTGACATAGCCCGACCTGCATTTTGAAGAAAAATCCTGTCTTCAATATTAAGGGGAAATAAAGCAAAAGGGAAGTAGAAATACCAACTAGGAAGAAAATTCAATAGTCCAGGTTAATGATGATAAGAACTGTACCAGAAAGTATTAGTGAAGGTTCTCTAGAGAACTAGAACCTACAGGACATGTACATGATAGACAGATGATGAGAGAGAGAGAGAGAGAGAGAGAAGCGGGGAGGGGAAGGAAAGAGGGGTAGGGAAAGGAGAGGGAGATTCAGCTAAGGAATTGACTCATTCAGTAGTGTTGGCTGGCAAGTCTCAAATCCAAATCCGTAGGGCAAACCAGCAGGTTGGAAATTCAGGTGAGAATTGATATTTCATCCTTGATCTAAAATCTGCAGGGTATATCAACAGGCTGAAAATGGAGGCAGGTTTTCTATGTTTTCATCCTGTAGCCAGATTTCTTCGGAGAGAGAATCTATTCTATGCCTCTTTTTCATTTCTGATCATTTGCTGGCAATCTTTGGCATTCATTGGCTTGTGGATTCTTCACCTCCATCTCTGCTTTCATTTTCACATTTTCACATGGCATTCTCCTGGTGGATGTGTCTGTGTCCAAATTTCTCCTTTTTAGAAGGACTCCAGTCATATGGGATTAGGGGCCCATGCTATTCTAACATGACTTAACTAATTATACGGTCTACCATCCTATTTTGAAAGAGGCCATATTCTGAAGTACTGGGGGTTAAGACTTCAACATATGATTTTTGGGGAGACCCAATTCAGTCAACAACACAGAGAGATAGCTGTGAATATAAGCAGGGATACCCCAGTGTTTTTGACCTGAACAAAATGATCAAGTTACCATTCACTGAAATGAAGGAGAAAGTCTGGAAGAGAAAATCAAGAGTTCAGTGTTGCATATAATTCAAATGAATATATGTATATATATTCAAATAAAGACCCAACTCTTATCTTAAGCTCCTCACTCAGTTAACAACACCAGCAGGAAGGCAGAGGGCCCAGTTGTCTCTGAAAGGAGACAACCGTCAGTGTTTCCCTTTTCCAGACATACATGTCACCTAAGTAGCCCTTATTTCTCGTCCCGTCCACTTCCATTCCTAATCCCACCTTCCTCGCTATCAATGCTCATTATGTAACATCTACTTATATAACACCTCCATATAAGTCCTAGGCATAGATCCACTTAAAAAGTTATTAAAAGAATGGATGAAATCAGAACTAATTATGAGATATTCTTTTTAACAGTTGTACTTTCACTAAGAACATCAAGATTTGAAATGAACCCTAATAGAAACATGTTATTAATAGTTTGGTTGACCTCAAACTAATATTAACCTGTGACTCTAATATCCATGATCTGTCTATTATATCTTGCCATTTTCCAATCTGCATGCTTTATAGTCAGCAAAAGCAAAGACTTGCCAGTGGAGTTTTAAATCACTGCCAAGTGGATTCTTATATCCAAGTGAAGGAATTGTTTCTCCAAATAATGGAAAATTAAAAAGTATAATATGCCTAGACTAAAGCAAACAGAATTTTTTAAAAAGAGTCCAGGGTGGAAAAAAATAGATCCTTTCATAAAATTAAATCTAATTTCAAATTCCATTCTGTGATTTTAATTCTAAAAGCTCTGAGAAAGTTTTGGTTAAAAGTATTTAATCCTCTGGTACACTGAAAAGAAATTTAAAAAATAAATAAAGATTTTTTTAAAAAGTATTTAATCCTGCCATGGATGCTTCTTTTATGAAAGGCTATTGAGGGGTGAATGAAAATTTTCAATTTGCCTTTTAAAAGCATGAGATTTTTCTGTACATTTGGGTGTGGTGGTTTTTTTCCTCTGCATGGTTCGATAGACAATATGATTCATTAAGTAGTGGATATTCGATCTTTATAAAGTATTCCCTAAGTCTTCTGGATCCTTACGGAGTGGTGCTTTCAGGAATACAGATTCCAAGGTGATTCTGTTTTGTGGCTAATATTACTGAAATCCTCAGACTGTCATCTAGAATCTGGCCTAAAAGGAAGAACAGGGATCTCTGGAGCACTGCGGGTAGCTGAAGGTCTTTCCTCAGATAACTTTTCTCAGATCAAATTTTGTGGTACATTGATACTCCCAGAGCTCTGTCCTTGCCAGGAGGGCCAGAGGAAGTCAGATTTCAGTACGCTGCACTTATCATGCTTCAGATCCCTGCTTGTTAGGGAAGCCTGTAGCCCCTGCCCAGACTTGCTCTGACTGCAGAGTGTGTCCAGTCACCAGCCAGAATTGGAAGGTAGGCTGCTTGCTGATCCTGAGAAAAAAGACCAGTCTATGGAAGGGTAAAAGCTGAATGTCTCCAAAGGAGCAGTGGAGCCGGGGCTTTGTGCTTCTGGGGCTGAGTTTGAGACTTTTATTCTGTCTGAACATTTCCACTATTTTCCTCACAAGCCTCTCTGTCTTGAAGCAAAGGACCGAAGCGAAATGCCTAATGAAGCGTGCCCGGGGGAAGGGGTGTGCAAAGGACTTGGGAAGAAGGACTTGGGAGGGGAGAAGAGAGAAGGGTCAGGTTACCGGCTCACACATTCACAAGAAACCATTTGAAAATACGAGCTGGAGACGAAAATTCGGGGACCCACCGAAGTTCCCTGAAGCTTCCTTTGGGGCCCTAGAAGTGCGGCATGCGACCCAGAAGTATGCCTGCTACTCATTTTCAGGGATTTAAACTTTGCTCAAGCCGTGGAATGAAGGCTGGTTGGGAAGGGTCGCGGGTGGGCTTAGTTAAGCTCTAGGTCGCCAGGGGCTAAACCAGTTCTCTCTCGACTTCCTCTACATGGGGTCCTTGAGGCCTCAGTGCTCGCATCCCCTTTGGTTTTTGCAGCCATCCAGCAGCGCACTCGGGGTAGGCGCGGTGGCGGCCGCTGGCAGGTGCGCACGAAGGTAGCTGCGAACCGCCCCAGCCCAGCTGCCCGCGGCATCCGAGCTCTACTGAAGCCGGCGAAGCATACACACCGACCCCAGAGCAAGGGCCTGGTCCCCTCCCCTCCTCCCCCACGAGACGAAAGCTGGGCGCCAAGGTCGGCTCTGAGAGTTTTCCAAATCTCTCCTCCTCCCCACCCACCCCCCCGCCCCGCTTCGAGTGAGCTGTTGGCACTTCTCCAGAAGCCTCCCGGGGCTCTCAGGGCCATCCCCTAAAATAAACACATGGTGCCAGAAAGCGGGGGAGGGTAGAGAAGCGTCTGAACTAGGATAATGAAAATACTAGGAGAAAGACTCCATTCTCCAGGAAAAGGTATAAGGGAAGCGAAACTGTGTGAACTTACTCGGAAATGCAAACCAAGCTCCACTCTTTCCCCGATCGCATACCAACGACCGAAAGACAAATCCGCCAACACGTTCGTTGGCTTTCCAGAAAGGGCCTCATGAATGAGAATGGGTTGCTAGGTTTCCTCCCTCCCTCCCAACAGTCGCTTCCCCCAAGACTTCCACCGCCTAAAGAAAACATGCCGGGTCTGGCAACTGCTGATCTGGGGAACCTAGCCAAGCCCACGGAGGCCGCCCTCGGCCTCTCCCGCCTTCAGGACCCTGGAGAGCGGCCGCTGCGCCCTTGGGACTCCCGCCCGGCTCGTCCAGCAGGGTTCAGCGCCTAGCCACCCTGTCACTTTTATTAGCTGCTTCCCGCCTCCAACCTTCAATCTTCTTGGCAACCGCCACTCTTGTTTTTCACAAACAGATTAAATTGCCTTTTTGTTTTACTTGAGGGAGCTGTTTGGATGGCTGAGTTAGGTTCTGGATTGTAGCTTCTCTGAAGGTTAGTGGACCAAGAAGCTCTAAGAGCTCAAAAATAAGAGCCTGACAAGGCAGGTGACCTTAAGAAGCCACTGAGTTCAACCCCTTTACTCTATAAATGAAGCAGATAAATTAAAAGAATAAAGAGACTTTCCCAAGGTTAATTGTGGAGTTAGTTGCAAGCCTCAGCCTAGAACCCCGGGCTTCTGACTTTTAAATTAATGCTTCCCTCTACTTTCAAAGAAAATAATAATGATTTTACCTTTACACTGGCCATTTAGATATCCTAAGCAACAAGTGGAAGGTGTAAAGCCCTGTGTTCCTGGGAATAAGATGGACACACAGAGTGCAGAAAGGGGCCTTGCATAGTGCACACTCATGAGACCCAACACAGTCCTGGTATCCCACCCACACCAACCAGACCAACCCAGGTCAAATCAGTCAGGCCCTTTTCCACCCAGCCTACGTCTGGGATTGCTCAGTCTTCGGACACTAATCGATTCTCTCCTAGGCACTTCCCACACCTGAACCTAGTAACCAAGTCCAACTTCAGCGCCTCGGCAGAGAGAGCTCTAGGCACTTTAGGAGGTGGGAAAGGTCAGAGGGAAAGAAGGAGAAGAGCAAGAGTTGCAAAAGTGAACTAGATGTTCATTCACTAGAAAATCCTAAGAACCAAGAAGGATGAATATAGATACTTTTATACACTGCATCTCCCATTCAAGGTGCATATGAACCCCCTGGGAACATTAACATTCAGATTCTGACGCTAAAGTTCAGGATAGCGTCCCAGATTCTGTATTTCTAACAAGCTCCTGGTTGTCATTGAAGCTGCTGGCCAAGAACCACAATGAGTGCAGAGTTAGAAAGGGGGAGAGGAGAAGGGGGAAAAGGGGGGAAAGGAGAGAAAGGAGAGGAGAATCCAACCAAAGGCCTTTCCTTTTGCTCTCACCTACCTTCTCTTGCTCCTCAAAGTACAGCCTTAAAATGCTGCAGTAAATGATACTAAATACACATTTTCTTCAGTCTGTAGCTAGACCCAACAGTAATGGTGTATTGCTTTTGTTTCTCTCCCCTTACCTCTTGCCCTTCCTGCCGCCGGCCCTGCACAGCTCCCAGACTGGCCTGCTGCCCCGAAGCTGCTCGGTCTCCTTTTTAGCAAGCTCTCTGGCCTCGCGCGATGCTTCTCTCATCTTCTCCAGCGACCCCCTCCTGGGGGTCCCCAGTGGCGCCCGGACTTCTCCCTCCGGCTTCTCGCTTGCTCCCTACCAGCTGGGCTCTCACGGGGGTACGGGGAGCGACAGGGCCGCCTCTTGCTCCTTCTGGGGTCAGCTCTGACACTGCCCAGCCGACCCCCAGGGGGACGCCCGCCCAGAGAAGAGGACGCCTGCACTGGGCAGAGCTCGCCCATGCCCGTGAGTATAGTTGTCTCCACCACGCCCCACTCCCCGCCTCACCCAGGCACGAGCATCCCCTGCTCTTCCCTAACCTCGACTGACCCACTCCACGCCAGGCCAGCAGAGGCTCCAGCCCGCAAGGGGCTAGGGCGGAAGGGGGCAGGGGAAGGGGCAGAGAGTTTTGGTGGGAAGGGCAAGAGAGGCTACAGCTAGTTCAAGGAAAAGGCGCCAGCGCCTCGCCTGACACCCCCTTTCCGCTGTAGACCCTCGAAGCTACTTTTTCCTGGACCATTTCCTTCCAGTGTCAATGGAAACTGTGGGAGCGGAAGGGAGTCCTCGCCCGTCCTGAGTCTGCTTCTCAAACTCTGGTTCCCAATGGTGTAGCTCAACCCCCTTCCTACAAGCCTTCCCCTCGACGCGCCACCGCCCCCTCCTCGCGCTCCCACTCCCCTGCCTTCTCAGCGTCTGCAGGCTCTGGAGGCCTGGGAGGAAATGACGTGATGTTATTTTTGTGTCAGGTCAGCTTCCAGCTTCAGTTTAGCCCTCCAAGCTCCCGCGCCGGGCTCAGGCGGTCGGTCTGCGTCTTGCTCTCGAGGGCACACGGCGGGGTCTATAGGGACACGCGGTGCTCTGTGCCCGCTGAGCTGGGAGGCAGCGTTTTTCCCTCTCTTTACCCCTGCACTTCGGAGCCTCTGGGGACGGAGGGCAGCTGCCAAAAGTCTCAGCGGGATCCGAAATCCGGAGTTAGCCAACCCTCCTACCACTACCCCTACCCCCACGCCGACCTGGTGGGGCCTCCGGCTCCGGCAGCAGGAAGAGGGCGTGGAACTCCTTTCCAGGGAGGGAGCAGCAGAAACCATACCGGGGTGGGACGGGTGCAGCTCTCGGAGTGGCAACCGGAGAAAGAGAAAAGGTAGGAGGCTGCCCTCCAGATGCGGGGTAGTCGTGGCGTGACTCTCCAGGGCTAGAGCACGCCCTCCGCGCGCGGCGCACCACCCCCCTCCCCCGGCACACTCACACTTGCGCCTCCCACGCCCCCCCTTCATTCACAAGGTCTGAGCACGCATTCCCGCACAGCCGAGTCTTGCTCAGCCCCCGCGCGCCGAAGGGAGGGAGCGCAGAGGGGGTCTTGCAGACTCTGTTCGCGCTCGCCTGGCTTAACGCCCACACTCTGGATTCTGCCTAATTCCGGACTGGAGGAGGGGGCTACAGTCCTGCTGCGGGCTGGGTCCAGCTTGGAGCGGGGCTCCCGCCATCCCCACCGCAGTGGAGCGCGCCGCGACAAGAGGGAGGCGAGACCGGGATAGCCCGGCTGGGGAAGCGGGAGTGAGGGGGCGGAGAGGAGGGTTAGCTGAGGGAGCGTGAGAGAGGGAGAAGAAGGTGAGAGAAAAGACCGAGAGCCAGAAGAAAAGGAAAACCGGGGAAAGCAATCGCGGGCGTAGTAAGGCCACCAGTTGGTAATGTAATTTAAAAAAAAAAAAAAAAGGCACACGCGAAACGCATGCGCACGGCCGACGGAGGCGAGCTAGCCCGAGCTTCCCCTCCGGCTCGCCCGGCAGACGGTGAAATTGTGAGTACCCGCATCTTCAAACGCTTTTCCCCTTCTCGGTCTCACTCTAAGGCCTCGGGCTGGGAAGTGGCCGGGGGCTAAGCGGGACGCTCACGCAGGGCAGGACCTGGAGCTCTGGTCGTTGCCGAGATGGCAGAAGTCTGCTCATCCACGGGTCCTGCCGGGTAGGTCATTCAGTGTGTATTTTGGGGGTGTATGGGCTTAGGGTGTGACCGGGTCTCAAAGGGGACCCCCAGCCACCAGGATCAGTTTCTGCGGGGTCCAGCGGGGCGTGCGTGCGATTCAACCTCTGTGGCCTGGGGTCAGTGAGTGGGTAGCCCTTAAAGACTAAAATACGTACTGACCCCCCAAGTAGATTTGGGGAACTCGGGGTTGTGGAAACGTCGGCATTCTCACCGGGCCGGGCGCCCGAGACAGTTTGAGCGCAGGTAGGACGGAAGAGGAGACACTCCCGGAATCACAGAACCTCCCTTTAAGAAAAGCGCAACTCAGGCGGGGGACGGGGAAGCACCTGCACATGCACCCCGGAGGGTCTGACTGGGTGTCCGCATTTACGCTCTTGAAAACCTAATGGACTGAACTGTCCGCGCACCCTTGGACAAGGCGGTTAAGGTGCAGGCGCCGCGGGTGTTTTTCTTGAACAAACCTGGGCGACTGAATCTTCCGCTCTCTCCGAGAGGCGCTAGGTAAGTTGGAACGTGTCGCGGCAGCGAGGCTGCGGAGACTGGAAGGGGGCGTGGGCGCGCGGAGGACCTAGGAGGGACGTCGCGCCCGCGGGAAGGGATGGTAGGACCTTTTAGGGTGGGTGTGCGTGGCGATTCCCCTCCCCCAGCTGTGGGGAGAAGGCAGGGTAAGGGCCTAGGAGCGAGCTGGGCGGGTGGGCGCTTGCGGGCGGGGTCTCTGTGCTCGGCGTCCGGGGGTGTGAGCTGAAAACGGTGGGCACTGGGGAGTCTCGGTTTTACGGCCTGCCCACCAGGCGTGGGTGGTGAGTGGGCGGGGAAGGGACTGCTGGAGAACGCGCTCCGAGGCAGGAGTGGGACTCGCCAGTTTCGGAGGAAAATCCGGGCGAGCGGCCAGGGCCCTGCAAGACCCCAGCGGCGGCGGAGAGTGCTCGAAGCCGGGGACGCGGGCACGGACTGGGAGCCCGGGGTGCTGCTGCGGCTCCGTCGCGGCCAGCAGCGGACAGTTACAGGGGTGAAAGTGAGTGCAGTTTCTATCCAGAAGAAGGAAAGCTCCAGAGGGGAACTGTCTCCTCCCTTCTTTTCTTTCTCTGAATCCAGCGAAGGCCCAGGGCTCTTTCGGACCCCAACTGTGCCTACGGGGCTGCCTAGCTGGAGTTCCCAGGGCGTCCCAAACCCGGCAAGTGCGGGCGGTGAGGGCTGGACTCCTCTCGTTCACCGCCTTGCAAAAGTAGTTACTCGCCCGCTGGGCTCCTTCATGCTTCTGGACTGGGGAGAGCAGGGAATTTCCTGCCCCAATCCCCAGTCATCCCACTTGGGTCTGACCTCCTTATCCGGGGCACTGGGCCCCAGCGTGGCTTGGCTTCATTTTTCTTCTAGTGATTGCAGATTATGGAATTGACTAAACAAGTGTCCGAGTTCAAAAAACGAACTGATTTCGTCCCTACACTTGGCAAGGACATTTGTAAAGAAAGGACTCCATCTGTAAATGCTTGGTTTTGTTCGTAACCTAATTTTTGCTCATAACCTCTACTGGGCCCCATCGTATGTACTTTCTACTCATTAAATAACATCTTCTATCTCATGTATCAGTAATGCATATGAGAAGCAGTATTGCCTGATAAGTCAGAGTCCAAGTTCTGTAACTGTCTGGATTCAAATCCTAGCCTAGCTGTGTGACTTCTGGAAGTAACTTAACATTTTGGTGCCTTTTATCTTCTGTAAAATGAGGATAAGAAAAAGTACCTGTACCTACTTTACTGGGTAGCTTCTAGCTTTCAGTAAATTAATACTGTAAAGCTCTGTCACATACCAAACAAGAGCTAGTATTACTATTGTTGTATTTATGCAAAATTGGCTAAGTAGCTTTCAAAATACTGTATAATAAAATCAGGAACAAAATGCATTTTTTGGATATGCTATAAAGAGTATGTATATCAAAGTAGAAGATGTCTATCACCAAAATTAGAAAAACAGTAAATATTTCCTAAGTTGATATGTAAATTTTAAATATAGTGCATTTGTATACCATCTGGACTCTTTTTATTTCAAATAGTGATGAAATACTTATATACACTTTTCAAACAGCATTTTTGAAAATTACCTTTAACCTTCAAAAAATGTTTCATTTTGTTAAATGATGTGCATAAAAAATACACACTAGGTCATGGTATATACAGAAAATCCAAGGTCTCCATTAAAATATTGCATCAGGTCAGTTGTATTTAAAATCTGGAAATTTACCTTGCAAGCTAGAAATGCTAACTTCTCTAAGATGATTGTAAACATTTTAGCCAAAATACTCCTATAATATCAAGAATATAGAAAGATAGGGGTGCCTGCTGGTTCAGACCCTTGATCTCTGGATTGTGAGTTCAAGCCCCACAATGGGCACAGAGATCACTTCAAAAATAAAGAAAGAACTACATAGAATAATAAAACTCAGATTCCTTCACTTTACAGCTGAGAAAACACTCACAGAGGGTAGAGGTCCCTACTGATGATCTCCAGGTAAATAGGGCTCCAAAAAGGATTAGAGTTAGGTCTTCTGACTCACCACCTAAGGCTCTTATACACCACACCGATGTGTTCCTGTTTACTACAGGTTTATGAACCTGTAACAAGTAGGAAACTGGAAGTCCTTACATAAGGGAAAATATACAAGCATGTGTTATATACAACACTAGAAAGACAGGACAATAATTTGGCTACTGTCCCACAGCTTCATCATGGTCCCGCACAGCAGAAGGTAGAACTACATAACTTACTAGGCTGAGGTCACAGATCAAGAAAGAGGCAGAGCCACACTAGAATTCAGGGTCCCACTGGAGTACACATTTGGTTGCATATTCTGTTAATCCCTTGTAGCAGTTTTTCCTTAGAAATCACTTTTGAGCTTTTCTTAAATTCTGAAAATTTCCTTCCTGCTGACTTAAGAGAGCTTTTTAGGAAAGGCCTTCAAATTTACATAGAAGGAGATTTTATTATTCCAGATTTTGTGGACAAGCAAGAGTGAAGTGGGGGAAGCTTTCTTATTCTAAGGCAGTGGCTTGGTAAATAATGGTTTCCACTCCAGGCACTTGAATATCAATTCCTAAAATCCTGCAGTTCTTTCATTACTGTATGTATAATGCATGTATAATGACATTCACCTCCCACAGAGAGGTGCAGCAGGTATTTTCAAGGTCGAGCTCTCACACAAGCAGTTTAGGAATTGTATGGCAGAGCCTTTCAAGTAAGCATCTAGCCTTACAAAGTTATTTAGGATT